GAAAATGAGGTGAAAATCTGTAGTGATGGGGTGGGGTAGTTGGTGGTGCTGACGGTGGCTATGTTGGTGGGTGCGGTTGTGGTGCTGTGGATGCGATGGTGGTGTCCCGATCTGTGGTCATGGCGGTGACTGTAATAATATTTGTTTTTGCGATGGGCTGATTTGTTTCAAGTGGTAGATGTGACGACGGTAGCGGTTTGACGGTGAGGTGGTGCCGATTGGTTGAGGTCGTGTTTTTTTTATGGTGGTGGTGCGATGCGATGCGATGCGGTGCGGTGAGGGCGATGCTCTGGTGGTTACGGTACGGGCAGTTGTTGTTTGAACCTGTGGTGTGATTCGTGACCAACTGTGACCGCATAATGGACTATCTGTGACCTTAAAATTCTACAATTTGTGACTAAAAATTAATCTGTGACCTTAAATTTCGACAATTTGTGACTAAAAATTAATCTGTGATCTATAATTTTTTGATCCGTGACCTTTAAAATTATTGATTTGTGACCACGAAATAATCCATGACCTCCAAAAATTTTAATTTGTGACCGATATACAAATTGTGACCTATAAAAGTTTTGAACTGTGAGCTCGAAATAATTCTTGACTTATAAAATTATATATGACCAATTAATTATGTACATGTGACCATTAATTGTATAATTATGAGATCATTATATTTAATAAATAAATAAATAAAATAATTAATTAAATCATAATAAATTTTAATAAAAATCTAATTTTTGAAATTCCAAACTTGTTTTCTTAGTTTTGAAATAGGTGATAGTTATCATCTTACTTATGAATTTTTCCCAAATGTGAAAGTGTGTGCAAGAGAGGGAGTGGCTATTACTATGTTGTCTAGGCGTGCTGATTATCCGTCTCATGTCTTGTGGGGATCAAGGGCCCAAGCCCAACAAATTAGTCCAATTGAGAATCTTCAATGGTAATTATGATTGACCAAGGGAATTAAATAACAATTTTAATTGAAGTCATACACACACACACACAAAAAGAAATCATACACATTTTTTTTTGGGTAGGGACACGTTTGTGCAAGCTTGATAGCTTGTGCAGTTGTGATAAAAAAATTTGTATCTTTGCAGTCCACGGAGTTAAAGAGGAATCACTATACCAACATTGGCAAATTTTGATGAGATCTTTTCATTGTTATTGTTGAGTAGTATTGCCAAGAATTATTTTGAGATGGTTGTAATTGGATAAATTGTTATTGTTGCATTTGAGGGACTTTGTCTTTGATAGATGAGGATTTTATGTGTCACGATTTGATATTAATTTTTTTTTGTCTTGGTTAGCCTCTAACATTATCTAGAGTCCCCTGAACAAGGAGAATTTTATGTGCCATGAGGAAAGTGATGTTTTTTTGTTGAAGGTGTTAAAGAGGTCAAAAAGTGAAGTTTAACCGGAAACTTAGCGTCGGGTGCCATTGGAGGCACATGAGCTGCCACTCGCTTGCTGCCTACTTTGCGCTCGAGTGGCGTATATATTTGGGAAAATATTGTTTCTTTATTTTTGGTTCGTTTTTTATCCTCTTTCCAAGTACAGTATATTCTCTTGGGTCCTATATATGCTCCACGAAATTCTTGACTTTCATATGATTATTTACGAGTCTTAGAAAGTTATACAATATTGTAAATACAATATTATTGTATTTTTCTTCATATTAATAAATTCTATTTTTTTCTGCCAAATTGTTCATGTGTTTTTCTAGTGTTGTGATTGCTACTTAGTATTATACCATATAATCTCATCCTTAATTCCTAGAAAGTAGTATCAGAGTATACATAATTTTTACTAGTTCGCTAACAAGTAGTATTAAAGCGTAATGTTTGATTTCTTCAAGATTTTTTGTTTTTGTGATGGAAACTATAGACTATGATATTCCGCTCTTAAATCGCAGTATTAGATTCTTGTTATGGCAGATGAAGATTCGAGCAGTTCTCGTTCAAATGGATTTGGACGACGCTTTGTTGAGATTTGACAAGATGCCCTCAAATTGGTTGGTGGAGGAGAAACAATGTAAAGATCGAAAGGCTCTATTACATATTCATCTTCATCTTTCGAATTATATTCCTCAGGACATTTTGAATAAGAAAATTACAGCTGCGTTATGGTTGAAGTTAAAGCAGTTGTGTATGACTAAGAGTTTAACTAGCAAATTGCACCTGAAGCAGCGTTGGTATTCTCACCTTATGACATAAGGTACATATCTAGAAAATCACCGTATTGCTTTTAAAATTGTCACTGATTTGGATATCTGAAGGTTGAGTATGATGAAGAGGATTTGGGCTTGATCTTATTATGTTCATTGCCGGCGTCATATATGTCATTTAAAGACACGATATTATAGTCCTGACACTCTCACCATTAAAAAAATATATGATACTTTGTTTTCAAATGAGAAGAAGAAGCATCTTGTTGTATCTGAGATTCAAAGAGAAAACCTTATTGATCATTGGCCCGTTTTCAATTGAATTAGACTAACAATTCGCCAAAAAGGGACAAGTCCGAAGTTATCATGAAATCATTATTTTGTCTTACAATCTCACTTCATCATAAACTCTAACTCCTTATGCACTTCATCATTATGCGAGGAGTAGTTCGAAGTCTAACTTGAGTAATGAAATTGTAAATATTGCAAGAAGAATGGGAACATATAGAAGGATTGGTATAAAATTGTAGAATAAAGTCAAATTTGTTGCAAATGAAAAAGGAAAGGAACTAGATACTTCAGGTGAAGTAGATATTACAAAAAATTACTACAGTAATGAAGAACTTTTGGTTATTTTTTACAATGACTCCAAACCTAACAAGGATTGTATTATTGTTATAACTTGCACTTTTCATATGTGTTCCAATGGGATTCATCTTCAACATATGAAAAAGTTTCAAAATGTATCAGGGTTATAGAAACAACACACCTTGTAAGATAGCTAGTATTGGAAGGGTTAGGCTTACGATATTGGATGAGACGGTTAGAACACTTGATAAGGTAAGACACGTACCAAATTTGAAGGGAAATCTTATCTCATTGAGTACTTTTGATTCAAAGGGGTACAAGTTCACTGGTGAAAGTGGAGCTCTGAAGGTTTGTAAAGGTGCATATGTTGTATTAGAAGGGCAGCGAAGGTCCCGGTTATGTGTCTTGCAAGGTTGTGCAGAACTTTGAAGATCAATCAATAGAGCTTTGGTACTTTTGTGGACATTCAGTTTGATGCAGTACTGTTGGAGTATGGTTTGGGGTTTATGTTGAAGGATACAGCTCAGTCGAGTCCAGAAGTTATGGGTAATGCCGTTTTACCACCATTAACGATGCCATCATATTCAATTGTAAGAGATAGGCCCAATAGAGATATTAGGTTTCCACAAAGGTAAGGGAAAGTTGATTTAGTTGTGCATGCTTTAAATGTGGTTGAAGGTGTTGAGTCTAACGAAAAATCTTTTAGAGAAGCATTTTGTGGTGTTGATTTTGTTTCAGTGTGTGTTTTGGATTTCGTGAGGCTATCGCTCGAGCGACGTATATATCCAAAAAATATTGTTTCTTTATTTTTTAGCTGGTTTTTTAACATCTTTCCAACTATAATGTATTCTCTTTGATCTTATATATACTCCAAGAAATTTTTGACTTTCATATGACTTTTAACAGTCTTAGAGAGTTAGACAATTAATATTATTAGCACAATATTATTTTTTGTTTCTCTATATTAATAAATTCTCTATTCTTCGGCCAAATTATTTTCGTGTTCTTTTAGTGTTGTGATTGTTACTTCATATTGTATCATATAATATCGTCTTTAATTCTTCATGAATATTGTCAAAGCATGCATATTTCTTGCTAGTTTGTTAACAAAATCAATGGTCATAATATTTAGGGAAACGTTACAATTGCATTGCATTGATCTCTCACACCCAAAAATCTCCCAACCATGCAAGAAAAGTCCTACACCAATGCTACAAAATAATAACTAATTCAAGAAATAGGAAGAGAAATATAATTTGCTCTCTCCTTGCACATCTCTTTTCAGTTGAATCTCTATGTAGGTTTTTTTTTTTTTTTTTCAAAATAGTTACGAACTCTTTATAGTAGACCTCATTTACCTTTTCCTTTTATGCCCTTAATTAATGCAGAAAATCAAATTTTTAGTATATTTTGATTAAATTAGATGAAATGTGTGATTGAAAAGTTGATAAAAGTTACGAAACCCATAAAACATGTGATTAAAATGAATTGCTAGCTCTAAAATTTTAATTTACACCAAACAGGTCAAAGATTCCAACATAATGTGATGAATATTATTATAATTTGGTCTCCCCTTTCATGTCTCTTTTCATCTGAATCTCTTAAGTAGATTTTTTTTTTTTACACGAAATAGTTAGGAACTCTTTATATTAGACCTCATGTACCCTTTCCTTTTATGCCATTATAATTAATGTTGAAAATCAATTTTTTAAGTATAATTTGATTAAAGTTGATGAAATGTGTGATTGAAAAATGATAAAAGTTACAAAAATCATGAAACGTGTGATTAAAATTAATTGTTATTTTCTAAAATTTTAATTTACACCAAACAGGTTCAACATCTGAGGAGATTGCATATAATGTGATGAATATTATTATAATTTGGATCATTAGTGGGAGAACATGACAACGAGCAGTCAGCATAACCCAAGTGGTCCTAACTAAACATTGAAACATGAGTAATCTGGGTAATTGATTGCAAATGCGAGTGGACATAAAAATAAATAATTCTAATATTAGAACTTAAATCTTATCTCCCTGTTCTTTCTATAGACCTAAAATATAATCTTCTTTTTAATAGGAAACATTATATAATCTGATCTTGCCAACTAAGCTGGTGCTTAAAATCATTGATAATGAATAACATTACTTTATGATTAAACTTCAAACATTGGTCATAGTATCTTTAATTAAAGACAAAAGACATATATATGTTCCACACATAACATAAGATACAAACATGACTTTAAAAAACTTGAGAAGGTAAGGAGAAATTGGGGCGCCGGACGAGACTCTGGTATGCCTCCGCAGGTTCGAGGGCTTTGATAGGAAAAATGCGTCTGCAGCTATAAACCTCGCAAAATGCTTGTAAACACATGAGCAACAACAGCATAATAGCAGCAAGAAAAGAGAGAATCTGCCACGAACCAAATACATATTTCTTCATGAATTTTCCAAATTTAACCTTCCACCTTCCATTGTAATACCTGTTCACATCTACAATCACTTTATCTATGAAAGACACATTTGTCAATCTAATAGACTTACTCATTCCATTCCACAGGTCCGCCACCTCTTTATCGCTCTTCAAACGGTTTATAATAATCCCTTTATCGCGAAGAAAACTAGCATCTTTTTCTGTGTCAATAATCCCATTCATTAATTCTGTGTAACGAGTCAGAACCATTGGCCCTGATACTCTACACGCTTCATATGCCACCATGTTTCTTAAAACAATCTCTGAATTCACATCTACACAAATGATAGGGAGATAAAGTGTGGCAGTTTTTATGTCGAAATTAATGCTTTGGATGCCTTCATTAGTTGGCGCAAAGCAAACTCCAACTTCAAAGAGATCAATTACAGAAGGGATTGAAATTTCTTCTATCGATGGAGGTTTTTCTATGTTACCTTTAGCGTCGGAATCTTCATCTTCTTTATGTAAGGTACTGAATACTTGTTCCAACGGTTGTTTTAACATTTTTAAGACAGGAACCTTAGATATAATAGTCCAAGGCAACTTCACAATCACTTTTAAAGGTTTTGAAAAGATTATGCTTTTGATCCATTGAACTGGTCCTTTTTCTAGTTTAGAAAGGATATTCCATACCTCATCAACGAGCCCCCTAACGTGACTTGGTTCTCCTGTGAAAGAATCCTTCTCGCCTTCCTTTGATTCACCATCTTCCTCAATTTCAGCTATATGATGATCAAGAGATTGTTCCTCCAATCCTTCTCGCCTTCCTTTGATTCACCATCGTCCTCAAGTTCAGCTATATGAGGATCAAGAGATTGTTCCTCCAAATTTGGCACGATAACACGGTATGCAAAATCGAGTAAATGAGCACATTCCATGAGCTGTAATTTGGGGAATTCTTCCACCATCTTGAATGGAGAAAGATCTTTGCTGAGTCCAATTAACATGGAAAGTAGCCAGTCATCTGCCAACTCTAATGATGAGAACTGAAATTCTAACAATTCCCTCAACACAAACAATGGAATTTGGTTCTCGAGCATTATAAGATCTCTAAATATGGCGTTGTTTGCTGCCTTATTTGCGGCTAATTCAACCAAATGTGACATTCTTGATGGAACATTAGTTGGTACCTTGCCTTTTCCGACAGCACAGACTTGAAGAAACTCGAACAAGAAAGATGCATCGACCACCATCATCCATGCTAAAGTTTCGCCACTAAAGTTTAACGGCTTGTGGTAGTAAGCTCGAATCTTGAGCTGGAATTTCAGGTATTGATCAACAAGGTATTGGAGATTTTTGTTTGGGATTTCTCTCTGATATCTTTGTGTAGCAGCAATTTTGTATTTCTCCATGTCGTAAAGCTCGGAACGGAAGCAATGATAAGGGCCAAGGGCAACTTCTTGTGGGATGTAAGAATCTGGAGCACTCAGCAATAGGGTTTTTGGAACACTGAAGATACTAACTGGGATTTGCGTGTCTTCCTCAAGTTCTTCCTCTAGGGTTCGACGAATGTAAGCAACCCATCTCCCTTCGTCGATGTTGGAGCCAAATCCCAGATCGGCGCTGGACCGAAAACTCGAGAGTGTGCTCATATTAGGCTTAGAGAAAGACATAGTAATTTTTATTCCAAGTACAGAAAATTCACTTCTGTTTTATAGCATGATGAAAATAAGGGACTGAAATGGCTATTAATAGACAGATATATAAGGAGATAGATAGATACTCACAATGATTCATAATGTATGGACTAGAATCTCCATTCTTGTCTACTTTTAAGGAGCCAATCAGTGATTCACATTTGTACAAAAATTATTATGGCTTATTATTTAAGGAACGCATGAGGACTTGTTTGATAAAGTAGACTATTCATGTTCAGTATATTAAAACATTAACAAATAAAAAAAACGTTGAAGTTTTAACAATTGTCACATCAAATAAAAATAGAAATATATATATATATATATGTGAATTAAAATGTGTACCACAAAACATATTTATCACATATGGTCACGCAAAATAAGTATATTTTCTTTTATTAAAATGTCCTCTAGGCAATCTATGCAAATTTACGAAGAATAATTGTTTATATTGACTGAAAATTCTGAACTTTGCCTATTTTACGAGAATGTTTAGATTATTTAAAACTCATGCAAAAAGAAAGACACGGAATTTGTAACACTTTTGAAGAGTGAAAGGTATATTTGACGAGAAAATTATAAAACCGACATTATTTAAGGGGCATTAAATTGTCACCATGACTTTCTTTTATTCCACTATTTTTTATTGCACTAAAAAGATCTTCAACATTTTCTCATTGTCAGACTTAAGTATTCAACTTTTTTCGTCGCATTCTTATTATCAACATTTCATTAATTAATTCATTTTCTCTAATGACAGTTTCATCCAAAAAGATTCATTACAGTGGCGTAATAAGACTTTTTTACCCCTCATATTTCTCAATAAACAAAAATTCAACAAATAAAAAAGGGTGATTATATATATATATATATATATATATATATAGACCAAAGAGGTGACCCCGCGAAACACCTCAACAGCTTCAAGACACATGAATTTGAAATGGGCCACCTCAGCTATGAAGTACAGGGCTTTCCACTTGACCTTGAGTGGAAGAGCTGAAATCTGGTATACTAGGTTGCTAGAAGGTAGCATCCCGAGCTGGCTTGACCTCAAAAAAAGGTTCCTAAAATGCTTCACTATCAGCAAAGAGGGTGAAAGGCCCATTCAATGACTACAAGATATGCGGCAACAACAAGGCGAGACGCTGAAAAGTTTATTGTCCCGTTTCACTGACAAAATGACCTACTGCGTGCAAGTGACAGATAGGGAAGCTTTGACTACCTTAAGAGGAGGTTTAGACGTGAACTCTCTCTTCTAGAGAGACGCGCAGAACAAGGACCCTACTATCGAAACATGCCCTATTAGAAATGATAAGGCGAGAGATCCTTAATGAAGAATTGATAAATCATAGGAACAAGGCCAATCAAGGACTTTTCCCTCCTCGGATGCAAAGGAGAAGAGGTCCTACCTCCCATTTGATGGATCACCAGGCATCCCTTAATCATGGACAAGCACTAGCTGCAGAAACACTTAATGCAGTACCCACTTTAACTTATGAGGAGGTAAACCCTAATATTGAAATGCATCAGCCCTATCTCTACCAGAGGTACCCACAAAGGGAAAGAGGTAGGGACGAGGAGTTGAATCTAGAAATAGAGATGAAGCGCCCAGTTATTGTACCTACCATCAATCCTATGGCCATCGCACAGAGAACTGTTAAGACATTGCAGACACTCCCGAAACACAAATAAAGGAAGAGGCAGAGCTTCCGAAAAGATGCTCCTCCTAGGCAGACCCAAATACCCGGGAATGTTGAGCCAAGGTGCCCCAACAAAAGTGACCCCCCAAGAGGAAGGGATAATGATACAAAATGACCTAGAGAAGGTCAAAGGCAAAGACGAAGCCCCCTAGCAAATAATGGCCAAGAACCCATCGGGGAAATTGACACAATCATTAGAGGCCCACATGTTGGGGGGGAATCTAGAAACTCGAAATTATGCTAGAGAAGCAAAAGACCCTTCTATGACAAGTTTCATAGTTAACCAATCCTCTATTGGAAGAACAATCACATTTACTCAAGAAGATACTGCATGTGTGCATTATCTACTCTGTGATGCCCTAGTGATGAGGGCTATCGTGACCCACAACAACCTGAAAAGAATGTTAGTGGATAATGTAAGCTCGGTCAATACCATCTTTGGAACCACCTTTGACAAGATGAAAGTTGACCACGAGTTAACCCTAATGAGTTCTCCCATGTATGGCTTTACCGGAGATAACATCATCCAAAGGGCTAAAATCACTCTAACAATAGAGATGGGGACTGCACCCTTTACTGCTCATCAGTTCATAGAGTTTTTGGTGGTTGATAACCACTCTGTTTATCATGGAGTACTTAAGAGGCCAGCCTTAAAGGAACTATGGGCTATCACCTCTATTCATCACTTATGTATGAAATTCCCAACTGAAAATGGCATCGTCATTGTTTGAGGTGATCAACGAAATGCTAGGGAATGTTATTCGAACTCCCTAAGGAAAGTTCAACCAAGGACTATCAATGTCATTGTCACAGACCTTGACATAAACGACGCCCTTGAGCAAGGAAGTACCCACGAATAAGGGAAAGATGTCGAGATGATCGATACCCCTTAAGAAGGGAACATCCTTGGAAGTATACGAACATCCAAAGAAGAGGTTGTTTGTGAAGAACGGACTACCCCTGAAGAAGGGAAGACTATTGAAGAAGTAGCTAACTTGGAGGAGCTGGACCCTCACGTCATTGACTGCAAGTCTCAAACAGCACCTATGGAGGAACTGTAGAGCTTCCTAGTAGACCCACAAGATCCCTCCAAACACTTGTAGATGAGAAGAACCTTCCATAGAAGCAAAGGTGGAGCTGAAAAGCTTCTTACTAAAAAATCTTGATATCTTCGCATGGAAACATGGCGACATGGTAAGCATTGATCCAAAGATCAGTTGTCACCACTTAAACATTGACCCAAAGGTCGCAATACATAGGCAAAAATGAAGAACTCTCAACCTCGAAAGACATAAGGCTATAAGAGATGAGGTTAAGAAGCTGATCGACAATAAATTTACTCGGGAATCACTGTATCCAAAATGGGTTTCAAACCCAGTATTGGTAAAAAAACCATAATGGAAAGTGGAGGGTTTGCGTAGACTTTTCAAATTTAAGTTTGTGGACTCAACTGCCGGGCATGAACTTCTTAGTTTCATGGATGCATATTCTGGATACACTCAAATCCATATGGTCCCAGCGGATGAGGAGCACAACTCATTCATCACAGACAAGGGTCTTTATTACTACAAGGCCATGCCTTTCGGGTTGAAAAACGTCGGAGCTACATACCAAAGACTTGTCAATAAAATGTTCGCCGATCTTATTAGGAAAACCATGGAGGTCTACATAGACGACATGCTCGTAAGGAGCTTAAAGACAGGGGATCATGTTAAGAACCTTAATGAGACATTTCAAATTTTGAGAATATATCGGATAAAGCTCAATCCTTTAAAGTGTGCCTTTGGGGTTTTTTCAGGAAAGTTCTTGGGCTACATCATCAACCAAAAAAGCATTGAAACGAACTCTGAAAAGGTCAAAGATTTGATTGAAATGAGGTCACCTCAAAAACTAAAAGAGGTACAGAGTCTCACTGGACGAGTAGCGGCCTTGAACCGATTTGTTTCCAAAGAAACAGACAAGTGCCTACCTTTCTTTAAGTTCATCAAAGGAGGAAATAAATTTCAATGGATAGAAGAGTGTAAGATAGCCTTACAAGGGCTAAAGAAGGACTTGGGAAAGGCTTCCCTCCTACCAAACCTAAGGATCATGAGCCACTACAGTTGTACTTAGTAGTGACTTTTGAAGCTATCAGTTCGGTTTTGATAAGAGGGTAGAATGATCACCAATTGTCTATTTACTACATTAGCAAGGCACTCTTGGCAGCAGAAACTCACTATCCAGACATGGAGAAGCTAGATCTTTCTTTGGTGATGTATCAAGAAAGTTGAGACCATATTTCCAAGCCCATTAGCATACATGTGTTGTCGAACTTTCCCCTCAAGCAAGTACTGCAGAAGTCGATGTTTCATGAAGGTTACATAAGTAGGCTATGGAACTTAGTGAGTTTGACATTATCTTTAAGCCAAGGCAGCCATTAAGGGTCAGGCCTTAGCAGATGTCGTGGCAGAATTCACCTATGTTCCCGAAATGGAAGAAGTTATGGAACCTGCCGAACCTCCGGCTTGGAGCCTTTTAGTTGATCGATCCTCAGGAGAGACAGGGTTAGCTAGAGGGACATAAGTTTACTTGTGCTGTGAGATTCGGTTTCAAAGCGGCCAATAATGTAGTAGAATACGAGGCCCTCCTCGTCGGCTTAAGGTTAGCCAAAGAGATGCAAGTGAAGAGGCTCATCATCAACAACGACTCCCAGCTAGTAATGAGTCAAGTTCATGGTAATTTTTCAAACAAAGATAAATCTCTGGCAGCATACTTGAAATTGGTTATGGGTTTCATCCCATCCTTTGAAAGGTTCGAACCAGTGTAAATCGCACGCTCCAAGAACATCCATGCTGACGCACTATCAAAATTAGTAAACAGCAAAGATTCCGATTTGCTCACAGTTGTGCCTATAGAACATCTTTCCAGACCTTATACCATAATTGGCGAGAGTGTAATGTGGGTTGAGGACACTCCATCTTGGGTGAAACCAATCAAATCCTTCCTCAAAAACTAGACCTTACCCTTTGAAAAGGAGGAAGCTCAAAAGCTTTGAAGGAGAGCTGCACACTTTGTTTTCCAGGACGATGTACTATGCAAACGTGGGTTCTCATTGCCCCTACTCAGATGCATTGGAGGAGAGCAAGCAAATTATGTACTCTAAGAAATCCATGAAAAGGTATGCGAGAACTACGTTGGAGGATGGTCCTTAGCACAAAAAGTACTGAGACAGGGATACTACTGGCTTACCTCGAAAAATAATGCGCAACAGTT